ATAGACCTACGCAACGATAGTAGGCACTGAACTCGTATTCTTCAAAGACCATTTGGTCGCAATTTGATTGTAGAGCTGACGGTGCATTAGGAGCCTCAGTGAGTAAGAGAACTGTTTCCCTAGGATCGCACTGTTTGGAAGTTAGATTTAAATGGTTTAGACGAAAGCCTTGAGGACTTATGTACTTGTAACTTTGAATCTGAATCTAGAAAGGTCCTGTCCCATATTTCCTTCTCTGCCTCCCAGTTCACCAGATAGCCCTTTGGCAAAGATAGTTAGCTGGAAACGAATCATGGATCATCGCAGAGGGTGAACGTACCTTCTCGACAGGCCTTCGGAATGACATAGATCCAAAGTCTCGACAACTCTCCAGCTGCTGACCAACCAGCACGCGTTTGTCTCTTGCGCGGGCAAGACAGTTTGGGACCTGTAAGCAATCCCCTGGAACCGCATTTTCAGTGGCGAATCCAGCTTTGATTGTGTATGAACCGTTGTCCACTACGAGCGTTTTTGTGGGCTTTGGAGGCATATTGTATGGCTTGTCTACTCTCGCCGGGATAGTAGGGTAGGCGGATAAAAATGAAATAGAGGGTATTGCTGTGCTGCGCCGTTGTGGGCCTCGTCGTGGTTCAATGGCGATGTTTTTACTTGCTTACCTGCGCTGCTGGATTACAGGCCCTGACACCGCAGCAGAGGCTCAAGTGCGCAACCCCGACGGCACCCGCCAAACCCCTTCCGTCACCCCTACATAGAAATTGGCTAGGATCTTTTTCTTTGCTGATTCAAGAATGACCAGAGAAGTTTAAAAAGACCGCGAACGTCCCTTTTTTATAAAAATACCACCCCGCGTCTTCCCCCCTCTCCACACCCCAATATAAAAGTCTACATAAAACAGTTCTCGAGAATACCTTAAAACACCAACGCGTTCTCTCCTACCGCTGCTTCACTAGGTTTTACTACTTCTTCAAATATGTCAGATCGTGAATTCGGAGGAGGTATATTACTGCACCCCCATCCATCCATCCCTTTGCTTTTGTTTGACTTGCCGCTTTTCTTATCCCCCTTCCTATTCCCCCCACAGCTACATAGCTACCTCCCCATAGCTTCAGTACTATGAACTAATAGCTGTCTCTCTCTCACCTATTAGCGGATGACCTATCCCTCCCTAAAGCCACTGTCCAGAAGATCATCTCCGAGATCCTCCCTTACGACCTCGCCTTCGCCAAGGATGCGCGCGACCTCCTAATCGACTGCTGCGTCGAATTCATCACTCTTATTTCCTCGGAGGCCAACGAGATTGCCGAGCGCGAAGCGAAAAAGACTATCGCGGCTGAACATGTCATCCGAGCCCTTAGGGACCTCGGCTTCGAGGAGTACATCGACCAGATCCAGAATGTGGCGCAGGAGCATAAGGAACATCAGAAAGTATTACCCCGGCGGCTGGCGTGCATGTGGATGATATAAGATCGCACTCAGATGATGCTGACAATTACGAGCAACAGTCCCGCGAAAAGAAACAAACGAAGCTCGAGCAGTCCGGGCTGTCGCAGGAAGAGCTCTTGAGGCAGCAGGAGGAGCTGTTCGGGTCGGCTAGGGCCAAATTCAACCAGCAAGGCCCTGGCCAGGAGTAGACGCCACCACCCACCCGACATTGATACGAACGTAATAACGGGTGTATTGAAGGATTGATAGACTAGGATGGGTAGTATGACGCGGAAGGAATATTTTCATAGAGATCTACCGGTGGATCGATCTGACCGCTCTCTCTACTCTCTCTTCTATTACTTACCAAGGAAGCAGGAGGGCTGATATCCATGTTAATAACGGGGGTTTTTGTTTTTTTTGTTGTGCGTTTTATTTTCGGAATTAACGGCGCAGTAGTGTTATGCAGTCTTTGGTTTTTTGGTTGACTTGGTTCTTTCTGGATTGCCGGTTACTCTTTTATTATTATTATTATTTCTTTTAAACCGGGGAGATGGACGGAGTATAGGGTACTAGGATGTTTCTTATACTTTCTTCTGGGGAAGGGCCTTGGTGTCCCTAATTCCTTGTACAAAGAACGATGGAGGTTCATCATAATATCACTCTCTGGTAGGGGAAAGAATATAATTCCTCAATTTATTTGTGTTAAACAGCAAGCGGGTGTCTCGGGTTTTCTGATTAGTCTGCAATGGATTTTAGATGTGCACGAGTGATATACTATGATGAACTGTGTCTCACATCACATCACATTGGTTAATTGCCACCAAACTGCAAGAGTATCTTCACCAATATGAGCAAAATATACACTCCGTGGCTAGCCCCTTAGACGAAACTACCCAATCTACGTGCCAGCGCCGGATAAATTATGCCTAACTTCATCGAAACCCATTCGCTGCCAAACACCACCGATCATCTCAAGAAGCCTCAAAAACTCGTCATCGTGGATGGCGTTTATGATAAAATCTTCAACTTGCCTGAATTCTTCTTCTTCATGTGTACGGAGATGATCGCCCCTTTGTTTTTTCGGTTCTTGCTCGTCTTTATCGTCGTCATCGTCTTGTTTCCGCTTCCCTCCTCCTCCTCCTCCTCCTCCTATGTTGGGATTTCGAGCGCCTGCAGTAGGTGTAACTGTAATATCACCGGCAGCTTTCTGCCTTTCCTGTGGGACGGCCGGCAAAAAGGTCTCGGACCTAAGTTCCGGCTTTTTATAGCCACGTGGGAACACTGGAAATCCTCCGCGATCTTTTGTGTCGTTCGCCCTAGCATGTTCTTCAACAATCTCGGGCAACCCGGACCTATAACCTCCCACTCTAGTTTTCGTGGCTAATCCTTGATTGTCACTCTGCTGTTGGAAGGCGCTAACCCCAGGCCTAGGTCTAGAGGAATGTTTGAAGTCAGATCCATGATATGCAGGTATATTATCACTAGTAAAGACTAATGAGGGCGCTTTTTTCACTGGCGTTGGTTTCGGGAGTGGCGGGAGACTGCCAATCGCATCCACCAGAGCTCCATTGTTGATGGGATTTGTCGGATTCTGCACGGTGGGTTTTCTAGATAGAAAGCTGGATGGCGGGCGTGGTGGTGGAATATCATCTTCCAGAAACATATCAGAAGGCTTTACTGTGCTAGGATGCAGATTCTGTGGAGCAAAATATGAAGGTGCTGAGTGAGGATCGTTTGTTTGTTGAAAGTTACTGGGCGTACTGTTGGTTGTAATTACACTAGCTTATAATAAGTACAGGTCGATGAGAAAACGTCTTTCCGGGCGAATCGATCCCTCAAGCAATATAACTCTTGGGCTTTTGGAGAGAAAACAGACCTCAGTGTGTAGCCCGAAGAAGATCCAGGTGGAGTACGTAACACTTGGATAGTATTATTACGGAGAGGGACTGGTGGGCCTGCCTGTGCAAACTGAAACTGAGAAGATGGCTCGTGTTTATCTGCTGGAGGTGTGCCAATTGGGCAGTTTGCTTGCTCGAGAAGTGCTGTGGCCGATTGGTAGGCGGTATCCGACTGAAATTTGATTTGAAATCGGCGAATCTAAAGTTCGGTATATATCAGTAGACCCTTCTGGAAATTAAATTCGTTTGCTAAATTATATGTTACTAACGGTTTGGTCTTCTGCTTTATAATATTTAATGGCTAGAGATGGCGAGCGCCCAAGTGCCATGAAAGCCGGCTTATGGAACTGTGATGAATCATGAGACGGGATAGTCTGTTTAGCTAGGCTTGTCAAGTCTAAACTCTCCTACTTTAAAGTATCAGAGTCAATTTTCTCTGGCTATGCTCCAAACTTCGACTAAAGATGAATCTCACCATTGTCTCGAGACCCCATACGACTTTCAGCCTTGTATGCTTGTCAACAAATTTTCCATCGTTCTGAATGTATCCGGGAACACGATGAGTATCGATCACCAGAAATACATTGTCCCTGTGTGGGAAGTGTGACCATGGAGGGTGGGCCGAGTCTGATACTGAGGAAGCAGAAGAGGAATACTTTAGGAGCGGCCAACTAGACAATGAAAGAGGGGAATTGACTGCCGACAGAGGGAGCTTCCGAGAATCCATGCTGAGCATGTATGACTGTGGGAAGAGTAACAAAAGTTGCTTGTCCTGGTCTATGCAAGACTAGGCCAGTAATGCAGTTGAGTTGCAAAACATGCATGTATTTAAAGTTTTCCTATCCCTACATGCAGAATAATAAGGTTTGTGTGTATTAAGCGGATTGATACCAAGTACCGATAAATGGCATGAATGCAATTCGGACGTAGAACATATTTTACTTTACAGGTAGGTACATTGTGTAACTTGGATCTCGACAATCACAATAGATCACTCGACGCAAGAATGAGAGAATGCAAAGAGCATTTAGGGTAAAATACATGTGTATCGGTAAGGGCGAGCTCTAGTATTTGATCACTCTTGAATTCGTTTGTGGTTGAGTACATGCCCATGTATTAACACCCCCTTCAACTCCTGCGTGTATCACGTGGTGTGAACGCTCACAGAGTGAGTTGTTTCACCTCCTCTTTAAAACCTCCACCTAGACTCTGAATGTGTGTAAGGCACGCAGCTCTTTGCAACCCCCCAGTTTCTTGGCAAAGTCCCCGGACCTGATAAGGCTGGATGCATGTATTTACTTGTTCATGTCTATTTTGTGGTATGCAGCTGGCATGCAATGTGAAAGGGCTCGGCGTTAAAGCAACCTCAATTCAACTCAACTCGGAAAAGGAGCCTCAATCAGGACGCGTTTTCTCGTCGCTTTCAGAGTCGTCGCGGTCTTGCTCGTGTTTTCCTTGTCCAGTGAACTCTTTAAACCCACTGCTGTTCCATAGGGTCGCGTTTCCCCTGCCATTCTTACCCAGCCCAAGCGTGTCGATCGATATAAAGCGCAAGTTCAGAAAAGCGAAGAAAAGGGAAAAAGAAAAGAAAAGGGAAAAAAGGAAAGAAAGAAAACATTTAGTAGAAGAACGAGAGAGGGAGAGAGGGAGAGAAAGAGAGGAAAGGGGATAATCTAAATGTCAGAAAGCTCAATGGCAGCGCCAACACCCGAGCGCGAGCGCAAAGGGCCATGGGCAAACAGAGTTCTCAGTACCGACATCGAAAAGACGCCTGAATACGACGAGTTCATCAAAAAGCTATCCGAATACCACGAGAAGCGAGGGTTGGTTGCTCCTTAGGGTCTACTTTGGCGTAGAAAACGTTTTGGTTTGGTTGGTGCTCTTACTAACTCTTTCGCGACTGAACCTCCTAGGACCACACTCACCATCGAGCCTGAACTCGGACGGAAGCTCCTTGACTTGCGAAAACTTTACGAGAAGGTCACGGCTCTAGGAGGTTACGACAAAGTGACTGAAGAGAAGGGTAAGATATTGGATGTTAAATACCCTATGGCGATGGAAACAGAGGAGCGGGGAGTGGACAATTGAGGTTGACGTTTTTTTCGCGAAATCACAGGTGCCTGGAGAGATCTTGCGCTACAGTACAAGCTTGCTGCGAACAACACCAACGCAGGTTACCTTTTAAAGACGATCTACTACAAGAATCTCGCGTACGTTCCTCCCCATCTAATCCCTTTGTTGCCCCAACTCTGTGATAGCTAAGATACAGAGCCCCACAGCGCCTACGAAATTTCAAATTTCTTCGGGAAAGAGCCCCCCCCAAAAGAGTGGTTAGAGGAGCGATCCGCTGCTGGAGGGTCAATCATGACGAGAACCGCAGAAGATTTTCAGGCGCCTTCGCCAAAGTCTGAATCAAAAGCAGAGAGGTCTCCAACCCCACCACCCACGGAGAAGCGAAGTATGTTATTGTGGTTATTGCCCTATTTCCTGTCATCTTTCCTAATCTTTAATGTCGGGATTATCCCACAGGTCTACGTCAAGCACCGACACCAAGAACTTTTATAATCCGGATACGACTTCTCAGCGCCATAACCCACCCAGAGCCACAAGCTTACAGCACCAACAGCAGAACTCCCAGCAGTCGCAGCAGCAGCAACAGCAAAGCCATCAAGTGTCACCTGGTAACCAGTGGAACGGAAGCGCCATGAATTTCCCCAATTTTTCATCCAACACGGTCAATGCGCCCATTGGAATGCCTGTACCAACACCTAGAAATGCTCCACATGAGTTTATCACTCAGAAAAGGAAAGCCGAACAGTATGCCGCAACAACAAATATGGCTAGGTTTGGAGGTAACTATTCCTTCCTATTCTTCTTCTCCCTGGTGATGATAACGGTGCATATACTGATGGATAGAGCATTTAGTCGGTCACACAGGCCCTAGCAACATGACACGCATTGCAATGGGGTTGAAATCCGGCTTGCCAGAAGAGGTCGACTTTGCTTTGAGCCAATTGGTTAAAACCTCATACGAAGCCGGCGATGACCTCCGTGCTGAACAATTCCCTGGTTTAGCTGAGGCGCTGTATGATAAACTACAGTCAGTTACTCGTCTGATGAAACTACACTCTCTCAACGGTAGCGAGGAAGTCCTGGAGGATCCTGCATTCACGAAGCAGCTTGAAAAGGTCAATGAAGCGGCTTTGATATTACGCAACATGTCCTTCCAGGTGGACAACGCCAGATACTTTCACGCCTCAAGAATGCTAGGTCTATCATAGTCGCGGGCCTGAATCTCCCCAACCAAACCTGTTTTATGGAGTTAAAGCATTATATCCTCGATATGGTCGAGTCGATGGCTACCCACCTCGTGCTTTCAACGCACGATAACATGTTTGAGGCGCTGCATGTCAATTTATTATCAGATGACCGTGGTCTGCTTTTGGGGTCACTCAAGTCAATCTGTAGATTCGTCATGGGACGTGACGAAAGTAACCGCTTGGGAGAAATTGGCATGGATGCCATCAACCGAATACGCAATCTTCTAATGCTTGAAGATGAAGACTTGGTTTCTGCTTGTTTGGACTTTTGTACCAATACACTACTAACGAGGAAAACGTCGAGAAGCTTATGCAACCGCCTGATGGTATCGAATTGATAAAGCAGTTGATGAGATTGTTACTCTACCAAGCCATTCCCGGCGAACAGACTGTGTGGCTGAAGACTAGAATACCTCGCCCAACTCCGCCTAGAGAGATCCCGAATCTTCCACAGGAAATCGTCAATGACCTCCTAACTTATATGGAGCCAGAAAGAGCAACCAAGTGGTGAGTTCCATTTTATTTAACCCCAAATCAGTAATTTCTAACCCCCATACCAGGATGAGATGCTGTTTTGAAGAAGACCCAAACTCGGATATCACCCAATCGCGCTTTGGCAGGCCTACCAAGCCCGCTTCAACGATTACGTCCCGGCTGGCCGCAACCTTCTCCCCGCCGCTGAATTTATCAAGAATGTCAGCATCGCGTTCTCTGTTGCTTCCGCAATGGTCTTGACTCTCCCCACAGGCGGTCAGAAGTTTATCATCAAAGGTATCAGAGCTAGAGAGACTCCAATGTCACTCAAAGGCCAGATCTACGTTGCTTGCAAATGGATCGACACCACCGGCAATGGCTCTAGATGTCATGCACAGCTTCCGACGCCTCAGGACCTATGGGTTCATGTATTGAACGATCATATCGGAGCTCCGACGGATCCTGGGAGAAAACTGCACTGCAACTGGGGCGGATGCGGAAAGTATAACCATCAAGCTGGAGAAGAGGACCGCAGGAAAGTCATTGGGACATGTCCGGACTCAGATTCCTGACTTGAACGATCTCCGCGCTGCCCGAATCGCTGGAATGGAGGATGTTGACGGCGGCATCGGGGGTGATGAGGAGCCGAATTCGAAGGTCATCATCAGGAGAAACCAAACTGGCATTGATGATCGCGGGGAGGCGGCAGGAATCCCATTAACTGCCGCCTTAGTATTAAGGAACATGGCCAGGAGGGGTATGAACGATGTTAGGGAAATTTTGGGGGCGGAGAGGGGAGCGTTATTTGAAGTTATGGCAGTCAATAAGCCCCTTGCGGCTTATGTTGCCGATCTATTAGTGGAGGACGGTATGGTTACTGATGATTAGGTTACACATTGTAGAAAAGTATTTATGCGGAATGAGGGCCACGGTTTAGAATGGATTGGGATGCCGTAAGTGGTTTTGAAATGTTGGCCGTGAAAGTATCTATCACTGTCTACTATACCATTAATCGACTGTGCATAATGCATTTTTTTTTTCTTTCTTCCTTTAATTTTTTTTATTTTTTTTTTTATTTCTATTCAAAAAGTATCAGCTTGTTTCGACATCGGTTTACCATGTTTGTTTCGTTTCAAATATGGCTTTCAAGCCGAGAATCAAATATGTGGTTGTCAGTACATGCGAATCGCTATTACATGTAGTCACTATGGTGTCATGGTAGACGGTGGAAACAACTGGATAGTCTGGTCTATCATGAGTTATATGGGTATATATGACAAATTTGTACTGTATCAAGTATGCCAGCAGTCTATGTCTGTCCTATGTCTCTGAAGCCAAGAAAGCAGCCCATATTTCCAACATTCAACGATAACAATTTGTCGAGTGATAATTCATGATGATAACCACAGGCTTGAACTGCTACCTGTGTGTGTGTGCACTTGAGTATTATTTATTTAACCCTGTCTCAGGATTCGGGAGGGATGGCTGAAAGCAGAAGCTTAACAATCACAACAACGTTTACCCGGATACAAGTAGCCTGGGGGAATTGTGGGGTACAACGACAGTTCCCTGGGAATCACATGCACATGATCATGGGGTAATAAAGCGATGCTGGATCGCGAGTCAACTGGGCGACGACCTCTGTACTCCAAGCTACATATAGTAATGTACGCTGGTACATACATGGGGAAGCTTTGTTTGCGGATACCCATGCAGCCCTCACTCGTAATCATTCCAATGGGGTAAATGGTCTGGTTATTATTAGTGAGAGGTAAAGGTAAACTGAAAGTGTATTCCTAAATCAAACGTTGGGGGTGACCTTGTTGTATCCAGTGGTTAATCTTTGTTGTTGCAAAACGTACCTGGGTTAGTTGTCATCTGCGGTGTGAATTGAGCTCTTGGACCGGAGGCACGAGGGCCTGTGTGGCACAGTCACTTTGCCACGGCCTTTTCGGTGTTGCAGGGGGGGTGGGGAGGGTTTGTTTTTTTCCGTTGTATGTAAGGCGGAAGATATGTTGTTGCACATGGTTTTCTAGAAAGTCCGAGTGCCAGATCTCATCACCAACAAGGCAGGCAAGTGCTGTTGAATTTCGCAGGATAACTAAGGCGAGTATGGGTTTTCTTTTCTTTTCCTTGTGCGTAGTTAACTGAGCAATATTAATGGCAATTGTTTTCACCGGCTGTAGTTTTTTTAATAACGGGTAAATAAATGTTGTGTTCGGCCATGGGCATCGAGTCGAAAGCTCGATGGCCAGCGCAACATCAGGCAGGCCGGCAGGCCCTTTGGACCCTTAAATACCAAACCCAAGGCGGGAGAGGTGGGGATTTCATGTACTCCAGGCGCCGTGCAGCTTGGGTCCTTTGCTGGTCTAAGCTTATGTAAAGGGGAGAGCGTTTTATTTTGGTTAGCCTTATCCACGGTAACTGCTTTTTTCTCTTGTGTGTCTTTCTCTCCTGCAAACGTGAGGGAGAACGAGGAAGATCGATGTGCGTGAGTGTATAAACACTGCCTAAGTGAGCGTGTATCGACAAGTCTGAACGAACGAACGAGGGAACGAATCTCTTACTTCTCTGACATTCTCTACTGTACTGTCATCTAAGGACGTCGAGTCCCGTTCGTTCACTCCCATTCTTACCTCCGTCCAATCCCATTCTTGTTCAGCCTCTCTTCCTACCAAGGTCCCATCTTTCGTGTCTATCTCATCTGCCATTCAGTCATACATCATCATCATCATCATCATCATCATCCCATTTTATCAACGTCCCTCCCACCACCACTACCCCCCAATATCTCCCCCCCCCTCCCCCCCCCTCTCCCCGATCTAGGATAGAGACTTTGCTGCTGCTGCTGTCTATCGGTCATCTAGTCATTTGCCATCTCCTACTCGCCAGTCTCTACTACCCTCACCCCCCACCCCACAATACTTATCCCGCTGTTGCATCTGCTGCTGCTGCCGCTACTTCAGACTAGGCCGGCGTAGTTACTTTATACTTACAGCCTGTCTCATCACCAGCTCACATTTACCTACCATTCCTCCCCACCACCCCCGGTCCCCCCCCCTAGTCCGCTATTAACACAAATACACATCACATATCTTTCCCCACTAAAAGGGGACAATGACGGAGCAACAGCGGCCGCTATTCGACAAGAGGAACTCTTCGACCTCGTCCGTCCTCAGCGGGGGTAATGGAAATGACAATTCCAATACCACCACCGACCGAGACACGTCCTCAAACGACGAGCAGGCCCAGGCCACCCACCAGCCCTCTCGGCAGCACCACCCCAAGAAGCACCAATTCGTCGTCGGCGGCGCACACTCTCGCCATCACACCCGCGTCCCGTCCTACGGCGCAATTTAAACAAGCTGGGGAAATTGGCCCCGATTGCGACATCTCCGGGCAGCGGTAAGGCGCGTGGGGAGGAGAAGGGCAGGTCCTCGGCGAAGCGGGCGACGTTCGAGCTCGGCGGAGACAACCGCCAGAACAGCAACGGAAACAGCAGACCAAGCAGCTACAAGGAAGAAGGAGGTACACAAACGGAAACGCAACGAACACGAGCAACGGGACGCCGCCGCCGCTCACCACTGTTGCTACCAACAAGGGTACAAACGGCTTGGTCAAGTCATCAAGCACAAAGTCTCTTGACCGTAAACCAAGAGACGGCGCACGAAGACTAAAACGAGAAGAGAAGCGCGAGAGATCACAATCCAAATCCCGCGACACTGTACCCCCTCCTCCTGCTCCTGCCCCTGCCCCTGCTGCAAGCCGTCACCACTCTGCCGAAGAAGTGTTTGTCGAGATGAATAACAAACGCCAGACCGAAGCGCAGCCACAGACACAGACACAATTTCAGCTCCCTACCCCACCGCAGGCAAAGGTTCAACCACCACCCCGCCGCAACACCAGAATCAGCACTTTCAATCTCAGCATCCATCGCATGCCCCAACGCATGCCCCGACGCATCTGCTCCAGCATACAAAGGCTGGTGGGGCCGCACCTCCCAAGGTCAGCGTTGAGTCCGTGCAGGGCACCCAGCCAACCGTGTCGACCAGATCCGGCGCACAACCGCGCAGCAGAACGGAGCCTATGTAACCCCTGCGCATTCCCTTCCAGACTCGCATGAGCAACCCCTGACATCGCGATTCATCGATTCCTCGCTGGGAAACTCAAATTCGATATCGCCCTCATCTGCAGCAAAGGCATACGGGCTGTCGCCGGCGTATCGGGAAAGCCTGCCCACAATAGTGTCAACCCCGCCTGACAAGGCGCCGGTTACACCTAAGATCACATCGCCCAATCCCGCATCGGCAACCGCAACTGTACCCTCGCGCACGCAGCAGAAGCTATGGCTTCAACGACAATCATCGCAGCACGAGCCCCTCAACATGTTCAGAACCAAAACAGGATGGGACCTGGGTCGGAGTGGTATGCGCTGCAACCACGGGCCCAGAAGGAGTTTGAGCGCGTAAACAGAGAGTACCTGAACACGCGGCGTTTCAAGAATCCCGCCGCACAGAGCATTGAAGGATTCGGGATAAGCATGCCGACCGGCGGATCCCGAAGCGCAAGGAGGGGCAGTGCGCGGAGGGAGCGGGGGCAATGGGATTGAGCCAGTCGCTGAAGGAGACGGGGGCAACCAAGTCGGCACGGAAGGAGCTGAAGATGGGCTCAAAGGACGACTCGGGGGTGAAGCAGACGGCGACAACGAACGGGAAAGAACGGGATAGGGCAGAAGGGTTGCACGCAATATTGGTGAAGCTGTGGAACACAAAAGAGATGATTCCCTCCAATGAATAGTTTCCCCCCCCCCCCCCTTCCTTCTTCCATCCATCTGTTCTTACTCTTCTGTATTCTCCCTCGTTTTTGACGATTATTCCTGAGAGAGAGAAGAAGCTTACTTGTTTATTTTGCGCATGCACGAGGGGTTCTCTCTGTTG